TTGTTAAGGTAGAATAAGTTTCGTAAATAAATAATTATTAAAAAACTTTGTGTTGTTTTGCTTTATTCAATTTATTTCTCGTAGATAACAAGACATACATACATTAAATATTCACATATGTACACTTAAAAGCGCCTTTCAGAAATATGATAATCGCTTCGTCTGATGATGATATTCATAGCAAAGGAAGCCGTATAACAGTGGGGGAAAATTACTGTGCATTTCGCGTCGGAAAATTGTCTACAGCTTAGTGTACTAATGTAGGGGTTGATTGTAATATAAGATTTAGTTAGTATGGATTCCTAAATATAGTTATTGGTTTCCTTGCTTGTCTATCTATACTAATAAAGCTGAAGAGTTTGTTTGTTTAACCGCGCTTGCAGGAGGTACTGGTTTAAATTGAAATATGTTCGTGGTAATTATCAGGGAAGGCTTCAGGCTATAAAACATTACAATGCGACCAACAGGAGCCAAGAAACAGTAGCAAAAAGCGAGGAAATATATTCATTCATCTTTGCGGGTTTCCGTTCCAACCGTTAAAGATAAACAATATAAGTGACGATACGACACTATACATCTAGAGTGTTATTGCATGAACGACGGAACGCAACCGACATGGGTAATATATATTTTATAAAGTGGAGGAGGTTTGCAAAAACAAAATTTCAAAACCGAAATATATGCAAAAAATACTGACTATAGTTTACACGAGTAGTACACATTTAAATAAAACACTTAAACGGTTTAAAACGCGATATATTAGTTTAGAACTAATATATCGCGTTTTAAACCGTTAAAATGTTTTTATTCAAAATAACTATTCTACGCAGACGAAGTCGCTGACACAGCTTATACATAGACAACGTAAGCGCTTTTTTGTTTAGCCTTGAAATATTGTGCGCTTAACATAACATGTCGTTAACCAAAGAACAAATTTAATATCTACCTTGAATTTTATTCTTGGTATTATAATTTATTTCAAGATACAAAAGGTCAAAAGGAGAAGATATACTTTGGATTTGAATAAAAATATTTAATCTATACTTATATTATAAAGCTCAATGCTTTGTTTATTTTTTAGAATTCATCTTTGAGGATTTCCGTTGTGTGCGCGGTTATGAGAGAATTACTCGTCTTTAAATAATAAAAAAAATCTACGACAATATATATCTTTCTTTTAATATTAAATCACAAAACCGCTTTCATAGTAATCCAATTTGGTCAAAATGCTTCATATGGCAAAAGAACGTTTGCCAGGCCAGCTAGTGATAAGCATCCACAAATGCAAGTAAAGTCTCGGAATAAAGCTAGTTTTATAGTTAATACAACAAAAACATATTCAAGAGAATCCACTTACATGCCAGACGAAGCCAAACCGCTGGCCTGTCCTAATAACTCAAACCTTTGTCCCCAAGTTATAAGCCGATTACACATAAGTTTACATAATACGATCTTCAGCGACGTTTACGTTAATACTAGTAGAGCCCTGCGTTGGTACCCGTAACACTAAGGGCTAATCAACATTAGCGTTACTTACCATCATTGTTTGTTTTATATATAAAATAAAAAATATATATCTTGGAGTCATGGAACTGACATTTATTTGAATGAGTTTCTTTTGATCAGACTTGCTCGTCCAAAACAAACAGTATATTGTCCTAAAATTCGCATCTAGGACCTCTTAACCTTAACACAATTTTAGGCAACACGCCACTGAGCCACTGTAAAAATACACAAATTTCAAAATGAAATAAATTATTGTTAACCTTAATTATAAAAATTACAGTACATAAATAAACATCCAGCTTTATTGTGTTCGCATTTATAAAAAACAGGGTATAATTATTAAATTTCAGAGTAGTCTACAATATTGATTCTCTTTATATTATTGTTTTAAAAGTTAAGATCTTATATTATCATTTATTTTATGATAGAGAAGACAACCAGACGCTATAGGCTCACTTGAAAGAAGGTGACATAAACCATCCCTATAACAAGTAGCACGATGTGAAACTAGTCGACCACCATTTTGACATTGGATATTCGAAAATCCACAGACTGAAACCGCAACGCGATTTAACACGGCGGCACTGTGGACATGGTTCGTGACCCAGGACGGAATATCGATATTCCTACCAGCGATGTTTAGTGCGACTCGTTGTAGTAAAATTACAGATTGATAAAAAACATGTTTGTCTCGTTGGGTATCAAACCCATGACCCATTTATTATTAGCCATACTATAATATACTAACGACCCTGTAAAAAAACCCCGTTTTATTCGTCCTTTACTGTATGTATTAACCACTTAATATAGCATTTTAAAGTATTATACAATCTATACAGCGTTTTATCTACCTATTGATAAGTGAGTCACGATTTCTTTAGCTATAAAAAATCTAAATACATATACATATAGTAATGAAATTCTGTCCATGACACGTACATAGAAGAAATATCGTAGTGTAAATTTACGCGCTGGTTTAATAGATGTTCAAAATATTTAAAAAAAAAAAGGTAGACAGTGCATCATAATTGGTTGTTTTGTGTACAGCATCAGCTCGTGTGTTGGGAACGCATTTAGCTTTTTCTAGCGAAGAGTTATATTTTTTTAAAGAAACTTTTAATTTTAATAATTAATAGTCAAATAATAATTATGCTAATGGTAGCAATGTATGGCTAATTATAGTCATTGGGTCGTGGGTTCAAACGCCTCCGGAGGTCCAACATTTTCGTCTAATTAATTCACATTTTTTCTGAAACGTATTGGACATCAAATGGGCGGTAAGAACATCGCAATTCCGTCCGGGTTTGAACAGTTCACAAATGAAAGGTCGTGAAAATTTAATCGCGTTAAGGTTTCAGTCTGTGGATTTCCGAATGTCCAAAGCCAAAATAGGTCCACCGCGAATCTTGCTCAAATCTTATAATCTCAATATTCTCTATAATTAAAAAATATACACAAACAAGCTTAATACAGTAGGTTTCTTGTTCAAGTTTCTCAAGAATTTAACGAGGAAACCATTCCATTGGGAAAATATAATGTTTCCTAATGGAAATGCGAGACATAATTGCATTTTCCTCGCCTCGACGAAGCCTTAACCGTGCGTCTCAACAAATAAAAATACCGAAAGACCGAACGACAAAGGTCCATTCAATCCAATACGTTTTTAATATAAAATAATTTAGGATCAGCTTCCTTAGTTTAATGATTTCTGTGTTGGTGATATCAAATATGATTTGATAAATAATTTTTATTTAAACAGTGGTTGAACGCTTTTCTTTACTCTATGTTAGGCGTGAGAAGTCCAAAGTTCGACTCCTGGGGAAAATAGGTTTTTTCAGTGAAACCGTCACGGATATGTTATATGCTTCATAAAGGGGATGTTTTATTTTCTTATGTATTTGTTTTAAGTTTAATTTATTTTTAATGTTGTACTTTTAATTTCACCCACCATGCATTTATTTCGCTTCCATTCTGGGTTGTCTGGGAGAGATCCCTTATTAGCGATGGAGCCGCACATTACACTCCACATTCGTGAAGAGTTAAATTAGTAAATTGAAGTAAATTTCTCCGTCCATATTTATGGTTCAAATGTTAAGCATGCACATACATAATTTACATTCTAATAAAATGTCTCAAATCCTAAATCTGGCGGAATTGACGGTCTAATGGTAACAAAGTATGGCTAATAATCAACTGGTCGTCGATTCGATCACCATCGGGTCCAATATGTTTCTAATTATTCAATTTAAATTTTTCAAGATTTCGTCTGGATATCTCGATATTAAAGGTTTGTAGGAAAATGGAAATTCCGCCCGGATCACGAACATGAAAAAGCCGTGAAGCTTAATCGCGTTTCGGTTTAAGTCTGTGGATTTCTGAAAATCCAAAGCCAAAATATCGTGACGGCACATCTTACTTTGATGCTTGTCGACCTATATATAGAACCCATGCTTATCTGTCCTCCTCTAGTTCCAGTCACTTACCAAGAACTATATACTGCATTGATTAATTACTGTACAACTTTCACTTTTACAATGTCAGTGTACATTTTACGTACAAGAGTCAAGGATGTAACAGTCCCTTCGCTTAGTAATATTAACCTCCGATTTTAAATGGTATTAAAAGTGTTATGACATTAAAACACCTTTAACGTACGGCTCTTCACTTAATATTGTGTATATTAAATCTAAGTGCATCGTTGGTCCAATAGTATCAATAAATAAAAAACTTTGGTTTGATCACCGGGATCCAATAGTCGATATTTTTCGTCTGGTACATCTGGAAGTAAAGGGACGGTACGAATATCGAAAGTCCGTGCTCGAATTACCCTACGTGTTATTTAAGCCTGCCCTAATTCACGTTCCTTTTATCCTACTAGTAGTACTTTGAATATTCTACACTTTTAATTTATTTTCGATATATTAAAATCAATCATTATTAGTGATATGTACAATTATATTATGATTTAATAATAAAACAATTTAACGGTTGAAAACGCGATATATTTTAGTTAATCTTGTTTCAAAATTATTTTAAACTACGTTTCGGATGCTTTGCAGCAGCCGCGGTCACGTGGAGAAATATATATTAATAAATAACTTTCAAATACTGTCTATAGTTAACGCGAGTAGTACACGTCATTTAAATAAAACACTTTAACGGTCACGGGGAGTCTCGCCGTGACCACGCTGCTGCAAAGCATCCGAAACGTCGGGCCGAAGTTAAAAATCATTTTCAAATAAGTTTAACTACTATCGAAAAAGATCGAAAACGAGATAAAACTGTGAATTTCCTGTCTTATTAAATGAATGAACGGCTTCAAGTAGCATTAACTGGTTTGAACACTACGTATTGATGACGATAAAAAAAAGATATTAAATTTTTATTAAACAAGTTATATTTTTTGTAATCGTCACGACACTATATTATTTGACTGCATAAATGTTTATCAGTTTCTCAAGATTGTGTCGAGAGTCCAAACGGTTCGTGTCGCGATGAAGCGAAAAATAAACCTTTTTTTCATACTCTACCTAGCTCAACAATGTAACGGATTTGTGTACGAATTGAACGGTGAGTGACGTTTAATAACTCATGAAAACTCTATTTGGTACAAATTTTAATCAAAAAATTAGCTTATTTAAAATTGAGGTTTCACAAAAGGATGACAAAATATAGCCTCTTTTAACAATTGGACAAGCTAGATTAATTCTAAATAGAAAACTTATGGACGCAGGCAGGAAACCGTTTCGTTAATTTTGCCCCGGGGGAAAACACCCCGTGACCACAGTGCCTTTAGTGCAGTGTAATTATGATTTAGATTAAGTGTATTGTGCGTTACAATGTGCGATTACAAAAATATAATAATTAATTATTAAAAGTATGCCACAAATAGAACTTGAAGATTGACATACCTAAATATTAGTTACATATACTATATGTATAGCCTATAATGAAAGTAACTTGTGAACGATATAAAAACTTTTTCATTTATCTATCTATACATTCTATTTATTTATATATTGCAGATACACAATACTACAGCATGCCACCAATTTTCAAAATGGATCTATACGAAAAATGCCTGTTGAAACCAAACGGAATTTACTGTCATGTACCTTTTGTTCTGGTGTCGGATGCGCAGAGTGACTTACTTGACATGATAAAGGTGTGTACCATAATAATAGATATTGGAAGGTAGGAAAAAGGCTTCTCAAATTAAATACAGAGTCAATAAGTAGAAAACCTAAACCGAGGAATTAATTGTAGTTGATATTTAGCACATAATAAGCACATAAAAACTACGCGAAGTAGGTGGCGCTAGCGTCGCAGATTTGACTTTGACATTAGGGACACGTTCCATCTTCAGTGATCACGGCTGTTGGCGGTAAAATAAAAAACGCCGGAAAAATAAGTATACACTAATATACTTCGCATATTAAATCAATAGTGTTTTTTAAGAGTAATACTCGAGTAAAATAATGTAAAATATGTAAAATATTTCCTGACCATTGTCTGTAGCTTACAGACAATGGTCAGGAAATATTTTATTTCAATATAACGCAAGTTCTCGCGAATAAGCAATGATATCTTATATAGTTTCATTGTATATTAGTGCTTTTCGCTTTGTTTGCTTAACTTATTTTAGCGGCTGTTGCACTAAATCCTATACATTTATATTATGTACGTTGGAGAATTAGTTTTTCAAAGGACATTTTTTTAGATCATTTAAAGAGGAATATCGTTTCCGCCGCGCACGCAAGGGAAACTCTCGAAGATGAATAATTTTACACTATTTCACATTTCTCTCTGTTTCTTCGCTCCTATTAGTCGCAGTGTAATGTTTTATAGCCTAAAACCTTCTTCGATAAATGCAAACATACAAACTATTTAGCTTTATAATATTAGTATAGATACAATCTAAATTAAAAAAAATATGTAATTCTACTTCAGTTCTAGCACTAATTACTTAAAGTTATTTACAGGCATATTCTAGTCACTACGTCACTCATTTCAATCATACGAAATTGCGACACGGTATTTGCGTATCCGAGCGCTGTCCGCAAATACGACACGATATTAACATACAGGACCAAAAGTCAACCCTTGAAGCATGCCTCAACGAAACATACTGGAACACTTACAGATTAAAAACGAGAATAATCGAACCGTTATCATGCAATACAGATAGTGCAAGCAAATTAACAGTAGGTGAAATATTGGCGGCGCTACTGTTCCTTGCTGTAGTATTTCTAAATGTCGCGGGAGCTTTCTGCGATATGTTTACAATAGAATCTGATAATGGTACTTTTAATTTTAAAATATATAATAAATACTTGTTTCTTTAATCAATTACAGATAAATAAAGTCCACATCGTAATTACATAATATATATATTTTTGTATATTTTACGTTTTTGAAATCTACAGACTAAGACTTCTTCACGGAATTTTTTATCTGTGGTGGACGGTGGATCGTGACCCGTACTAACACATTGGATCCTATAGGAATCAAAATCACGTCCATTTTATTATCAACCTGAAATTGCTGCTATTGGACGTAACTCTAACTTTTTTTGATCACCTGATATCTTATGATTTTAGCATTGCTCAAGTGTTTCTCTATAAAACGTCATTTAGGAAGATTGTTTACGACCTACCAAAGAGATGGTGACGAGGAGAGATTAAAATGCTTGGATGGATTGAGGTATATCTTGATTTTTCTATACAAATTATCATTATTATCAGTCTTCTACTTCTAATTAGACTTCTTATAAAAGTACTAGCTATACCCGCGACTTTATCTGCATTGATTAGTTATTTTCGACATCATATTATTTATTTTTGCAAACAACGTCCTCGGCGTCATCCGCGTTCCGTTGTTCCTGCGACTTCATCTTGACAGACTTTATTATACAAACCGGGAGTTCCTGAGATGAGCACGTTCAAACAAACAAACTATTCAGCTTTATAACATTTCTATAGATATAATTTGTTTCCATCGTTTGTAACGATATAAATCTTAGCGGACAACCTAGGTTCAAATTCCTGATCAATAGTGGGTTCGAAACATAAAAGAATTTCAAGCCACAAAATGTATGTATATTTGAAAAAAAAAATGATACTAAATACTGTCTATAGTTTACGCGAGTAGTACACATTTAAATAAAACACTTTAACGGTTTAAAACGGATATATTAGTCAAACTTATTTGAAAATGATTTTTAACTTCGGCCCGACGTTTCGGATTTTGCAGCAGCCGTGGTCACGGGGAGACCCGTCGCCCGTCGGAGCCGGAGTCTCCCCGTGACCACGGCTTCGGCACGGGGAGACTGCTGCAAAGCATCCGAAACGTCGGGCCGAAGATAAAAATCATTTTTCAAATAAGTTTAACTAATATATCGCGTTTTAAACAGTTAAAGTGTTTTATTTAAAAAATGATACTGTTTAAATTTTTAAATATATGGACGTAACCATATAATACTAAAAAATAAATTACAAAAATACAATGACTTTTTAACATGACGTAAAAGTAATGAATGCATTTTGGTCGTTTGGTTTTTATTTAATATGTATTATTACCTGATATGCACATTTTTGGGTTCTGTACGGAAGGGGTAACACCGAGAGTCGCTTTCTTTAACAAAAGCGAGACTTTTATATAATCTTTAATCTGTCAGCGACTTCGTCCGCGTAGAATAATTATTTAAGGCATCCAAATTTGTTTTTGCAATTCATCGTATCCACGACAGTCGGTCGCGTCCCGCAGTTCGTGCAAGTTAATCTTAAAACAGATATATACTGTCGCGGACTGTTTTTTTGAAAATTTTAAGAGAAATCATTCTCTATACATATTTTTTGGGTATCTTAAACCATTTTTTCAGCGTACCCATACTGAGGAATGATTTCCCAATTTGTTTCACATTTCTCGCTATATCTTCGCTTGTGTTAGTCACGGGGCGATGTTTTATAGCCTATAGCCTTCAGCGATAAATGCTCTAATCAACATAAAATAATTTTTACATTCGACCCCATAGTTCCTGAGATTAGCGTTTCATTTATTTTCAGAGTACTTATATCAATATGTGTTATATTTATCCACGCGGCGTTGGTTTTCGTAATCTACCCGGAAAATCCAAGATATATTGAACAGGTAATAATATTACTTTTATCAGATCATATTTCTTATTCCATTACTTTTGAAAATTAATTTATATTTTAAAAGATTGGTCTTTATTTAAAAATGTTTGCAAGCTTATAAGCTAAAAATATCGATTGAAATAAAGTTAAGTTGAAATAAAGTAGTCTTGCAGCGGTATCCACGGCGATTCGTGCTGCTGCTTCTACCAATTGAGCTACCGTATGACACGAAACGACTCCTGCCCGTGTCTTATTTTTTTTAATCTAAATGTTTTTTTTTTATTTATATACGCCATGTGCAATGTAAAAACATATTAAAGCTTTCCCAATATATAAGCTATGTTAATTTAGCTAAAATTAATTTAAGGAATGTTGAAATAACCAGACTTTACCCAAAGATTATCTTTCAATGGCTATTAAGTGAAACTGCTAATATATCATTGCAGGCGTATGAAAATATCTTGAATTATATATTTTTAAATGGCACCCTGCTTGTCCAAGTATTTTTCATCATGGCCGGTGTGCTGTTGGCTTATAAAATAGAGGATTTGAGGGCGCAAGGCAAAGTTACTTGGAAATTGATACCATTGGGTATCTTGCAGTTACTTATAAGGTAATTATGTTTTTATTAATGAATATTTCAGTAGTATAAAGATTACAACTATAACATATGAATTACAACTTTCTTACTGAAAATAAGTTTCAGGTCAACACAAGAGCTGATATAAACAGAGCAAGTTCTTATTGTACCAACTTGCAATTGTAGAATTCATTTATTTTTTGATAATTCTATTCTAATTTTAATTTTTAATTCGTTTTATTTATTACTAGACGAGCGACTTCGTACGCATAGAATAGTTGTTTTGCATATCAGTTTTTGTTTTTGCAAACCTGCTTTTCAACTCTATAAACTTAAGCTCTTACCCACAAGATCCGTCGCGTCTCTTCCCGTCGTTCTTGCAAATTCATCATAAAAGATGGACTTTAGACCATTCAAAGAGAAATCATTCTTTGATACATATGTTTTGGGTATCTTGAACCGTTTTTGGAGCGTTCTTGCTATATCTTTGCTTGCCTTAGTTACAGGGTTATGTTTCATAGCCTCGATAAATGCTTTAACCAACACAAAAACATTTTTTCAATGCGAACTCGTAGTTCCTGAGATTAGCGCGTTCAAACATACAAACCCTTCAGCTTTATATATTAGTATAGATAAATTATGTGGCACATGTTATTGAATAAATTGATTTATTCTTATACAGATAAACGTAGAACTCTTATATTATTATTATAACTTAGTATTATTTTCCGGACGACCACTATAGACTCTGTTCCAAGTCAAGTTTTGTTGACTTTAGAAAATGTCCCTCGTAAATTTTAGTATATCTCTTGACTTCCGCAAACTATTTAGTTTACGCGAGTAGTACATATTTAAATAAAAAAAATTTTAACGGGTCGAAACAGCATACCTCTAAACGAGGTATCACCGTGAGTCAGTTGTTTAAGGACCCAGCCATCATCAAATACCAATTCGACAAAACAGATGGCACATAGCAGTTTTGACTTTACCTTGAAGTTATCTAATATATTTTGTGTTTTAAACTGTTAAAAGTGTTTTATTTGATAACTATCATTAACGATGGGTCGAGTACTCGGTTGATACTCGGTACTCTGCATACTCGAGAAAACTTTGTTTAAGAAAATCATTACATTTAGGTAGATATAGTTAACATGGAAACGCTGGATTCAACTAGCGAACGACCGGTCGTACTGGAAGTCTACGGGGGAGGCCTATGTCCAGCAGTGGGCACCGAACGGCTGAATCGAGATATAGTTAAAACAAAGTTTAATCTCAAGTATTTATTAGATATTTAGAAAATCTTTGTCAGTAAATCTCAATTATTATAATTAAAATTATGCTCATGAATGAGTAGGTAATGAGACAAAATTACAATAACAGTAATAAAAATAATTAATATTTAAAGTTTTATAGATGTAAGTTATGATGCAGAAACACAAGGCTCTCTGCGCGCTTTGGTAACAGCCTCGTTTTTTCGTATTTAACGGTCTCCGAAAATAATCGCTCGCCATACACGTTGCTTTTAGGTACACATAGAGATACTCTTAATTAACTTGCCAGCTCTGGATACCTTGGTTGGTGCTTTGTCCACCACTCGAAAGGACTCTCGCTTTCAGTCAATAACATTTCTTTTAAATATCAATCTAATTCTAAACCAAAGGGAATTTGATTGAATCGAGGTACTTAGCCGAGTACTCGATTGAAAAAAAATAACCGAGTAAAACTCGGTACTCGTTACTCGGCGCATCTCTAATTATCATGAATTATCGATTCTTATCGATGTAATTTAGTTTGTTATATGTGATACTTCAATAAAACAATACTATTTACGCATTTTATATTTCAGAGTTATACCTTCATACGGTTTCGTTCTTCTTTACACTTCTACTTGGATTAAGTACCTGGGATCCGGACCTTTATGGCAGGTATGTTTAACTAAAGCTTTTGTGAATACCGAACCCGATTTAAAAAAAAAATATTTGTTCATCAAACCGGTTACCACATATTTTATATTTTGATATTAGTTACCTATGTACATAAGACCAATGTTAATCGATGAAACTGGCGGGAATCAAACCCACTAAATGGTAGTACATTATTCAGTGCACTTCGTCGTTCGCTGGGATGAGTGTTTTTGATATTTTATATATAGAAAATATTTTATATCCATGAGTTTCAAATCAGAAGAATACGAAAAACCTTTTTACGCTTATATCACCAGCCGTCATTTATTATTTATAATAGGAACATTAATTCTCTGTTAATAGTAGCAAAGATTTACTCTCACAGGCTCGTTGATCTAATAGTAGTAGTGTAATGTCTAATGTACAGTGGGTCATGGCTTCAATCCCCACCAGGTCTAACATGTTTCTTAATTATCAATTTATAATTTTTCTAAAACATACTAGACTTCGTCTGGAAACGTGGTTATATAATGGGTGGTAGTGAAAGCCCGTTTCCCCCTCGTGGGGCATGGGGCGAACACATTTCTGTGTCCGTTTCATTGATCCGTTCTTTTAACGGGCAAGTAGTTCAGACTTCTGTGCCCTGCCCGACCGAAACATTTTTTTTGTTTCCCTGGCATTAGAACCCAGGGCCTCTCGCTCTCAACGCAATGCTAGGCAAGACGTTTAACCATTTGGCTACAGAGGCGGTAGATGGGTGGTAGGAATATAGAAATTCCGCCCGGGTCACGAACCACCGTCAACAGGTGAAAAAGCCGTGAAGCTTAATCTCGTTTCGGTTTCATTCTGTAGAGTTCCGAATATCCAAAGCCTAAATAGGTCGACAGCTCATCTTGTTATGCTGTAGGCTGGGACATCACTCCATGCCATGTCTGTCCTCCTCTATAATTAAAAAAGAACTATTAATAGTAGGTATAACAAATTCATTAGACAATTTTTCTTATTTTTAGGCTAATGTTGTATTTGAAGCAGACACTTGCAGCTCTTACTGGTGGGCACATCTTCTGTTTGTCAACAACTACTTTGACGGAAGCATTTGTATGTTGCAGACATGGTGAGTAATCATCAGATATTATTAAAGTATATAAGTAGATTTAGATGGGAACTTAATAAAAATATTTTACTATATGTGTCTAAAATCCCGATTTTCCTATTTCGAACGTGGGCAGACACATACATGTGTCTGTTATTGATTTTTTGGAGACGAGCTAAGAAACTCTCACAATAACCTTTAATTATTTAATTATATATGCATTTCTTTATGCCGCTAAGAATATTTATTTTTAACATCCAAATTCGTTTTTGCAAACCCACGACGTTGGTCGCGACCCTTCCCGTCGTTCTTGCAAGTTAATTTTAAAAGACATATATCGTCGAGGACTTTTAATTAGATCTTTTAAAGTCATTCTCTCATATATATTTTTTGGGTACCATGAACCATCTTTGCAGCGTACGCCTCGGAAACCCATAATGATGAATGATTTTCCCATTTTCTTTCACATTTCTCGCTGTATCTTCGCTTGTCACAGTCACAGGGCAATGTTTCATGGCCTTCCTCGATAAATGCTCTAACCAACACAAAATTAATATTTCAATTCGAACCCGTAGTTCCTGATATTAGCACGTTAAAACAAACAAACTCTCCAGCTTTATATATTAGTATAGATTAGGTACCCCTCTAACCGCTGCAAAGCATTCGAATTTTTTTTTATGATACAGGCAGACAGACCTGTGTGAGGTTCACTTGATGGTTGGTGAAATAGAGCCGTAACATCTAAACAAGATGCGCTGCCGTCCTATTTTAGCTTTTGGTAGTCTATAGTAAACTCGACGGCTTTTTCGTCCGTTAACGGTGGTTCGTGATTCGGAAGGAATTTCAATATTCCTACCACTCATTTAATATCCAGATTTCCAGACGATGTCCACTATGTTTCTGAAAATTTTAAAATTAATCTAAATTGGACCTTCATCTTGCCGATTCATTCGCTTTCCATTTTTGTTCCTCAATCGTTATTAACGCAATGAAATATTCTTTCATTAGGTTTCTTGCATCGTACGTGCAGTTAATGGTATTTGGTTTCTTCATTTGTGTCTTGGCTAGAAGCACATCAGCCAAGATTTGGACATTAAGCATTCTGCTTATTTTGGGCTCGATAGCACCAGCTGCGCACACGTTTTACCACAATCTCGATCCGGTGCTTATGGTAGCTCCAGAGTAAGTGAAAACTACACAATTTGTTTACTTACCTAGCTGTGTCAGCGGCCTAACTTGGAAGGGCCCGGCGGGGGGGGAAGAACAACGGTTGCGTCTCGTCGTTCTCGCAAGTTAATCTTAAAAGATAGTGTCGTGGACATTTTTTAGATCGTTTAAAGAGGAATTATTCTTTCGTACACAGTTTTTGAGAATATAGGCGTTGAACCGTTTTTGATGCAAAAACGGTTTAACGCCTTGGAAACCCTAAAAGATGAATTGTTTTCGCCGTTTTTCGCTCCTAGATGGCAGCGTGATATTATATAGCCAGAAGCCTTCGTCGATAAATTATATAACCACACTTAGAATTTTTCAATTCGCAGAACTTGAGAAATTCCTTACGATTTAAGTTTCAATAGTTAAAAAATACTATTGAAAGAGATATAGCGAAAGAAAATTCTTCGACCCCTCATCCAAGCTAAAGATAAAAACTTTTATTGTCAAAGTATGTATTATACAAAGTTAAAAGTCGACGACACACGTGCCAATCGATCTTTACCATCATTAAGCCGATGCTAATGCATTTATATATTTTTGTTCTAGATTGCCATTCGTTTACAATGACTTCCAAACTTTTAACCATGTCTACAAGAAAGGTCATACGAACACACCATGTTTCATAATGGGGATTGCTTTGGGATACTATATTCATTATTGTCTGAAGCATAAAGTGAATTTGAAGAAATTTGAGGTAAGTTTTTTTTTTTGTTCAATTGATGGTAGGTGAAATATCCGAGCCATATAACATCTAACATGATGCGCTGTCGGCCTACTTGGCTTTGGATATTCGGAAATCCACCAACTGAACTGAATTAAACCTGTCGGCTTTCTGTGGCTTTGCGTGGTTTGTGACCGGACGGATTTTGGATATTCCTACCACCCATTTAGTATCTAGATTTTGAAACGGAGTGCAACGTGTTTCGGAAAACTTATAAATTGATTAGAAAAATATTGGATCCTTAGGGTAGGGGCTTATTAGGTTGGTCGGGCTCGTTTGAGTAATGATAGCCGTATGTTGATATTCAATCAAAGTAATAAGAAGTCAAGTTTTTTGGTCAATATTCTTAAATCAGGTCGGACATATCCTAGCTTTAGTCTATTCACCAATAAGAGTAAATAGAAAAAGAAACGATATGCGATTTGCTGAAAGGTAAGAAAGAGATAGTGCACTATCAAACCGCTTTGCTGAAGTTTAAGAACTTTTTACATTATTTTATAGTACTACAAATTATTTGAATAAAACACTTTAATGGTTAAAAATTTTAAAATGCTTTTTAACTTGCTTTGCAGCAGCCGTGGTCACGGGGAGATTAATATATTGCGTTTTAAACCGTTAAAATGTTCTATTTAAATATGTACTACTCGCGTAAACTATGGACAGTATTTACTACAAATTAGTTATATCTAGTAAATGGTAAAACAAGAGAGGAGATATGGTATCACCTAGATTCTAGGTAGTTTGACCGTTGTCATCACGAGTGGAGGACATCATAAAAAGATGTCAAGCTTTTAAAGAAGTAGAAGATTTGATAACCTCTAATGATTACAGAGATACCAAACATTATTCAACTTGCCTGTGCCAATCAACGTTACGATGATGTGCATTGGATTTCTATTCAAGGACAAAAGCACGCCTTTTTACATCAACGTACTGTATGCTGGATTAATGAAACCTATATATGGCGTCTGTGTGTGTTCTTTGATTTTTGGAGCAGTTTTTAAAATGGAACGTAAGTAGCCTTTCACTCAACGTTGCTTGTAGAATACCCCTTAAGAAAAAAAAATTACGACACGGGCAGGACTTGTATCGGATTCCACTCCTACAGTCAGTTACCGTGTCCTACACGGCATCGTCGATTTGGATAGGTAGAAATACCTTTAATATTGATTATTGCATCTCTCGCACTTTGTAATTTCAACCTTAACATTTGTGTAATAAGGTTGAATGTTTTCTGCTTTGCAGCTTAAGAAAATTCTTGAAGACGAAATTACTGAGTTTAACGTTTGAAATATTTTGTTATTTGAGTATAATATAGTGCTATCATGTGTTTCTAATATTATTATTATCTTAATTGTAAAATTAATATTAGTTACATTATTAAACATCTACAGTCTGCTCCCGAGTCAATGGTATGAAAAATTCCTTCCAGATTACTTTCGAACTCTCCTAGAATTGGACATATGGCGAGTTCCAGCAAAATTATCTTACATAGCATACATCTTACATATGTTTATTATCAGAATAATGGTTGGTTCGGAGACATCGCTTCACACTGTTAATATACTGAGCTTGGTAAGTTTTCTACTATAACACAAATATTACGACAATCTATTGACCGGAACTAGTTAAAAGATAGTTATCTCTTTCCCACACTATGCAGTGAATAAGGACAACAAATTTATATGTATGTGTATTTTTTGTTATCATATCTGACTTGTTTAACTAATATTACAGTAACTAATAATTTTATTTAATTAAGTAGAAAGTTTCAGAGTATGTCTGTGAAATCATGAAAAATCATGAGTATTTATATCTGCTTTGTCTGTTTCAAGTACAGACAAACTTTTTTACTTTATTTATATAGTCAACCGTGTTTGTCCTAGCATTATAAATATAAACAATTTTATTTTCAGTTCCAAATCGGCTTCGGTATGTGCGTCCTCGTCTACCTAATGTCAGTTCTATTTTGGGTTTTAATTGAAGGACCAATCAATGAATTAATTAATAATGCTTTGAGTAAGGAAAGAATAAAAACACAAATGACTTCGGTGGATATAAATAACAAGAAAGCGGAGTGAAACAGTAGTAAATTTGAAACTTTTATTATCTACAAATGTTATTGCACAAAATAACTTCATATTAACGTCTATTTCGCATGGAAACGATGACACGGACGAGACTCGAACTGTGAATGTGATCATCTTTCCAACATACTAAATATATATTTTTAATATTAAATGTAAATATTTAAATAATACACTTTATAACGGTTTAAAACGCGAATTCTTAACTAATAGTAGTTACAGTTATTTTAACTACGGCCCGACGTTTCGTTTAATTAATACGTGTCACGTTCAAAACCGTTAAAAAGCGTTTCATCTAAATGTGTACCAATCGCGTAATCTACAAATAGTACTTAGTGAATGTACATGTTGTTATGTAATTCAAAATAAAATAAAAAAAAAAAAAAAAAAAAAAAAAAAAAAAAAAAAAAAAAAAAAAAGGGGGGGGGGGGGGGGGGGGGGGGGGGGGGGGGGGGGGGGGGGGGGGGGGGGGGGGGGGGGGGGGGGAAAAAAAAAAAAAAAAAAAAAGGGGGGGGGGCGGGGGGGGGGGGGGGGGGGGGGGGGGGGGGGGGGGGGGGGAAAAAAAAAAAGGGGGGGGGGGGGAAAAAAAAAAAAAAAAAAAAAAAAAAAAAAAAAAAAAAAAAAAAAAGGGGGGGGGGGAAAAAAAAAAAAAAAAAAAAAATTTTAAAAAAAAGAAAAAAAAAAAAAAAATAAAACCAAAAAAAAAAAAAAAGAAAAAAAAAAAAAAAAAAGGGGGGGGAGAGGGGGGGGGGGGGGGGGGAAAAAAAAGGGGGGGGGGGGGGGGGGGGAAAAAAGGGGGGGGGAAAGGGGGGGGGGGGGGGGGGGGGGGGGGGGCGAAGGGGGGGGGAAAAAAAAGGGGAGGGGGGGGGGGGGGGGTTAAGCCCCTCCCCGGGGGGAAAATTTTTTCAATTTTTTTTCGATTTTTAATTTAAAGTATAATTAGGTAATTTAATAATGTTTGTTTTATTTTACTAGTAGGTATATAGGGATGTACAATGTTTCTTTATTGAGTCTTTTATTCTGTCTCGTCTATTTAATTTTCTTAATATAAGCGTAGCTGCACCACGCTCTTTCAGTACAGATTGGCTGGTCTTGTACGATTTTTCCTTTTAACTACTGACCAATCGGCACAGGCGTTTTAACGTGTCTTCAAAAGTAATAGTGATGAATATGTGATGACGATGAAGATGATTATAACTCTTTAAACTTCTTCGAATTACAAAGTACGAATAATTCTAGAACTAAAACTCCGCCCGGGTATCAAACTCGAGATATTGTGAATAAAACGCTGAAGAGTTTGTTTTTTTGAACGCGCTAATCTCAGAAACTACTGGTTCGAATTGAATAATTATTTTTGTTTTAGTTGGGGCATTTGACAAGCAAGAATATAAAATAGGCACATTGCGTGCTGCGACCTATAGTAGTGAAAAAAATGTGAAAAAAGGGGATAATTATTCTTACATATTCTTTGTGGGTTTCCGATGCGTGCGGTGCGAAAATGGTTCAAGATATCCAAGAAATAGGAGATTATTCCTCTTTAAATGATTTAACAAAATATCAGTTTTACTGTGTGTCTATCTTTTTAGATTAACTTGCAGGAACGACGGGACGCACAGCCGATACAGTTTAAGTATAAGGAGGAGCTTTGCAAAAACCAATTTTGATGCCCGAAATAACTAATCTACGCGGACGAAGTCGCTGACACAGCTAGTTCCATTATACCAGCTCCGAATGACTAGGGCCTGGTCTCTCAGGTGTCTTTATTCTCAAGATGCACCGTAATTGAATTACAAGTTGCCACTGAAACGGAAAGGGTAATAAAAAACAGTCGGGCTTCATAACTTATTGAGGGATCGAGTATCCCGGCTTAGGATTAAGGCCATGTAAAAATATATTTCGTGCGTTCGCGTTTCGGTATTATCTTTCACGAGCACAGACTATATAATGACGTTGTTCGTTCATTTCAATAAATTTACATTTGTTCTTATATTCTTGAATACTTGTATTTAAAATTATTTTTGTTTTGCTTAGAGCATTTATCGAGGAAGGCTTTAATGCTATATAACTATTAATATTGCGCTACAACTTAGGAGCGAAGGAAAAGTGGGAAATATTAAAATAACGGGGAAATTTATTATTTTATATCTTTGTTATCAGATTTCCCGCGTTTCGGATGCGCGGAAAAACTGTTCCAGATACGAAAGAAAGGTATGAAAGATTGATTTCTCTTTAAACGATCTATAAAAATGTCCGTAACAGTATAAGTCTATCTGTCTATATATGTGTATCGAAACCGGAATCACTTGTCCTTAACTCAATCCGTTTAAGCATTAACGTATAGATATAGTTGATTTAGTAATTTTTTGCTAAGACAGGCTGAACAACAGCGCTGTACGATTTATATTTCGAGTCCCGAGTTTCACAAAATTCTATACCTAAGAACTAATTTTAAGATCTTATCTATTACGAAGAAAATAACTAAATACCGTGTGTAGTTTACGCGAGTAGTACACATTTAAACAAAACACTTGAACGGTTTAAAACGCGATATATATTAGTCTCCCCGTGACCACAGCAGCAAAATATATCGCGTTTTAAACCGTTCAAGTGTTTTATTTAAATAATAAAATAACTGTCTATAATGTTCTTGTTCTTATAATTTTAAGTGCCTTGTGGTTGTAATTGAAAAAATTTAATTTTTAAATTTGAACAGACAGACAGACAATTTTGCAAGTGATCGTTTGATAAAAAAATATTAAAGTTGCGATCACAAAGGAGTCCAGACAAAATGTGACAAGAAAGTTGAAAGACTATCAATTTACCGCAAATTTCTCTCGCCTAATATATTATAAGGCATTATTCACAGTGGGGTCTTTTGGACTGTGCGGATGATTTATACCTTTTGTGCTAAGGTGCAAATCGACACTTCGCTCGGTACTTGGAACCTTTCATAGTTAAATGTAGGGCGCGGGGACAGGTCGTAAATTTAACTAATGTTGCTATATGTTAGATAGGTCATTGTTGTATAAATTGGGCTTGTATTCAAATCGGTTATTTTGGATTCCAAAGGTTTTAAGGCCAAAGGGTCGTGATCTACCTCCCTTGATAAGGTCATAAACCTGTCGAGGTAATGACTTTTAGTCTATGCTATCTGGCGGTATATATGCCATGTCTACTTGTAGAACAAGGGAATAAAGAAGGATAAAGAATTATGTAATATACAGTTTTTAATGGATCTAACATAAGAATATTTGTACAAAAATAATCGATGTATGTTCTGATCTGTTGGTGTATCTTTGAATAAATAAATAAATAAGAGTTTCTTAATACTTACACATAAAAATGTTCGCATTGAGTCTGTGGTATATACGAGAAACGACGAGACACCGTGAGTCAGTTTTGTCAGAATCCTATGAAGAAACAGATGGCGCTAGCGGAGCAGATTTTTGACTACCTATTACAAAAATTCTCCATCTTCATTATTCCATCTAACCACGGCTGCAGCAAGGCATCCAAAACGTCGGGTCGTAGTTAAAATGTCTTGTAATTAAGTTAACTAATACATATCACAATTTAAACCATAAAATGTAAACAAGTGTCTTATTTAAATTCACAGTTTTGCTCAGCGTAGTTTTCATGTCATAATTTTTATTATCTATGTCAAGATTCCTGATAAAAAGGAGGTCCGGGGTATTAGGAAGTTTTCTTGTTTGAAGAGTGTAGGCGGATTACGGAGCTGCCCTCTCGCCAAATATTGACAATTCGCCGTTTTAATGCTTACGTCAAACAATCGGCGATTATAGGTCTACTCGTCTTAAGAAGTATGCATTTGTGGCAACAAAGATTTGTCATGGAATAAACACAAGTTACAATGTTATGGTTTTAACCGTTTGTTTTCTCTACTAAATCAGTGATTGTGAAAACTGAGAACTACTATAAATTCTACTTTTCAGTTTTTTCAAGTCCAATCATATTAAAATTACAAATAAAGATATTAAAACTTTAGTTTTAAAAGTTCTTGCATATGATGCACAAAATGATGACAATTCGTAAACCTTTCGCCAAATAAGAAATTACTGGTAGTAAGTAGTGGTACAGCTAGCAGAAGTGACAATATTGACTTTTAGATTTTACATTTTGAAATGGTTAAGAAACGATTTTTCAGAAATTAAACTTTATAAACTTAAACCGAAGTCGCATGATTAACATTTTTTATTCATTACAAAATGTCCTCAATCCAGCTTAAGAAGTTTTACACTTTCAGTAAATTATTCCTCTTATATTTATTTTATATGTTGGCTACAGGGATACCTCTTCGACAACTAACTTCAATCTAAGTTAAACTGATTGCGTTATAACGCGTTATGGAAAACTCTTGTATTTATGACTTGAATGCGTACAAGTTTCACATGTTAAGTTTAACTGTATTTAGAGAAACATCCTACCTTAGCTACTTCGTTTATTATTAAATAAATATGTCAGTATCTCACTGTTAAAAAAAACTATCTAGTATCAACTGCAGTGACCCTACCGCGAAACCAGTTCCACGGTCTTAACCGAAAAGGTCCACCGCAAATAAGGGGCTTCACAGTCATTCCCCACAATTTGCAAACCTGGGTAGATTGAGGGTTCAACACACTTATTGGTGCGTCTTAATACCTTGTACAGCAGGCGTTAAGCTCTTGTCAATACCAAGTTCAGCGGGGTATTGATTTGACATTTCTTTCGTTCAAATATTCAAGATATGTCCTAGATACTATGTTTAATAATTTAAAATGAATATATATAATATGGAATAAATATGTTTTAGGTTATTTTTTGATAGCTTTTAACGCGTATTATATTAATTGATTTATCCTAAATATGAGCCGACAATTGGTTGGCACAGCAAATGCCACGGGGTCATACGTTGAGTTGCTGCTGTGTAGCAGTAGCATATAATTCGATCGTGATCGCCAATATCACAAGAAAGGTGGAGATTTTTATCTACAGAA